CCATGATAGTCATATTAATGTATTAGAAATATATATGTACTTGAATATTTGCATTAGATAAGTATATATAGAATTATAACTGTTTACTGTTATAATGACAATGACACATCACACTATTTTTTTTCCTTTGTCGTACTTTATCCACCTTTTTGTAAAGTACTTTTTAAAATGTTTTTTTGTTTGATGATATATGTATCTCCATCATTATTATCATTGTCTTTAGCTTTTTTCTTTTTCTTTTTTCATTATTAATTAAAAAGCAATGAAAATAAATAATAAAAAAGAGCTATTGTTTTAACTAATGCCTATTATTTTCAAATAAATACAAGTTAAGGAGTTGCTAATGAAATATTAGGAGGCTAAGAGCTGAATGGTGTCTTCAGAACAAGCCAGCCTTAAGACACTTTGTTGAAACCAAAAATAAAAATGACTGAAGTCTCAGTTTTAAAGAGAATGCAGAATCTAATGATTGATCAGGCCTGGGGAGCCTGTGAGGCGGTGGCGGCCATGCAGATGAACTGAGCGCATAGGCCTACTGCAAGATGGTGCTCCATGGTGCCAAATACCCCCACTGTGCCATCAAAGGGCTGCTGGTGGCTGAGAAGCAGCCGCCACACCACCGTGGCCACAAGTGGGAGTTGCCGCCCCACATATTCTTTGTGGACTGCCTCCTGCTCTTCCACGGCAGCCTGGCCCTTGCCCCCATGCTGGAAGTGGTGCTCAGCCTGATTGATTCTTGGTGCACAGAGAACAGCTATGTAATAGCTGGATACTATCAATCAAATGAACATGTGAAGGACACCAGTCCAAACCTGCTGGCCGAAAAGGTTACCTCCAGGATTGCAGAAAGCTTCAGTGACATGGCCCTCATAATAGTGGATAACACTAAATTTACAAAGAAGTGCCTAAAACCAGCAGTTCATGTGTATGAACGCCATGAAAATAAATGGAGATGCAGAGACCCACACATTGATTATTGTGAAGATTGGACAGAAGCCCAGAGGATCTCCCAATCACTTTTGGACAGCCAGTCCTAGTAGATTTTGACAATCACTTGGATGACATTTGGAATGACTGGACAAACCCAGAGATTTATAAGGCTGTTTTACATTTCTGCTAAAAAGATTTCCACTGACTCAACTTGCTGGGATTTTCACTGTGCTGAAGAAAAAAAAAGAGCATTAATTTTCAAATGTAAATAGAGGAAGGATGGTTCCTTCAGGTGAGGGAGACCCATCCATTAGAAAAGGATGTGTTGCTACGCAGTCAAATCTTTTTAATGAGAATCTTTGGGACATCAACCATATTTTGGAGCCTTTTCTGTTGATTGCCCTTTTGTCCTCATCCGGGCATTCTTGTTACTCTCCAGTGAGAAATGAGATCTACTTGTTCCAAATTGTTTGTATTAAAAAGTTTTGACTTAACTTTTCATATCCTTTAGAGATAAATTTTTAAAAGAGATTTATGAAATACCTTTCAGAGAACTAACTGCTAGTTTTATTTATTTTTTAAATGATTGATCAGGAAATGGATTTAGGTGCCAGTATTAGAACCCAGCCTATGCCATAACATTCTGTGGAATTTCATTTTTGACTTTTGTTTGCTATATTACTCTTCACAACTGTATAGCTTAGTTTGTCACTGAAGCGGTAAATTTGTTTCTGCAGCACTTGAATCATTTCAGACTGTAGATGGGGGATTCCATCCCTGAATGCTCCTCCATAGAGATAAAGCCTTAAACCATCACATGATAAAGCAGAAAGCGTAGGAATCTAGACCTTTCTGGAAAGGTCTTGGGGGGGTTTGAAGTGCATTCCCACTTATAGCATGAAGTATACAAATCAGATGCAAGTTTACAACTTAAGTGAGAATTAATATTTTATACATACTACATTTCCAGAACACAGCTATCCATAATATTTGATATCAGTGTTTATGGGAGCTTGATTCGGCTTGATCAGCTGTTAGGAGAAGGCTTAGCATCAAATTGCTTGATCTCTCTAAGCCTTTATAGTCAGTTTCTGCTTCCACTGCGTTTTAGTCAAGGAATAGCAGCTCCATCAGCACACAAAGATAGATGACGAGTGCTGGATCTTACCAAACATTTATGATATTTCAATACATCTGATTTAATGAAAATTAAAAATAGCAGTTTTGTTGCCTTTGGAGAAAAGCTGCACTTCACTGCAAATTCAATTTCATTTCTAATATTTCAAGGCATCTGTGAATTCTGTAGAACTAATGACCCAGGGTTTGTTCAGTCGGCACTCACCCAGGTAATTACCACTTTATCATTGCCAGGACTTAACCTAGCCCTATTAGACAAAAAGGAGCTTGGAAATATTCCAGCAGAGACCCTGAACAAAATGTTCTCCTGCCCTTCCTCCCCCTAAATAGCAAGGGCAAAAGTGAAGATGGCTGAAGAACAAGTAAGTTGATTTATATTTCAATTTCTTTGCATGCAGACATAAAATATGAACAGAGCCCAACTGTTTGAAAAAAAAATCTCAGTCATTTCTGAAAAGCTATTAGGAAAACAAATGGATTCAAAATACCTTTTCATTGTATATTAATATTATTTTACTACACTACTATTTCAGAATGGAATATGGTAAAGGTAAAAAAGACAAAATAAAGCAGGTAAAAAAGACAAAATAAAGCCCAGTAAGGAACATGACTGATTTTTTGCTTTCATTCCTAACTTCTTTTGTTATCTGTCTGTCTGTCTGTCTGTCTGTCTGTCTGTCTATCTATCTATCTATCTATCTATCTATCTATCTATCTATCTATCTATCAATCTAGTCCATCATCTCAGTGTGTGTGTGTGTGTGTGGGTGTGTGTGTGTATACTCATGTTAAGATACCATCTATAAGTAGCAGAAACAGAAGAGATCATAGGTTGGCATGGGCATCTTGTACAGGGAGGTTCAAGGGTGAGCAAATGAGGAAACATGTAT